GGTGCAGGTAAATAGAACGTGTCAAACTCTGTACTTGAGTACGTTGACTTTATGCGTCCTCATACTGTTCCTCCAGATGATTACAGATATAATTATCACCTTTTCACTCGGCTGCCTTCACCTCTGAGCTTGCGTAACGTGCACGTGTATGAAACTAATTAAACCGCCCGGCGTCGTGTTTACCGCCGCGCGAGGCAGCGACGGGAAGCTTCGAACTGTCGACAAAACGAGAGCGGCTGAATGTAAAGAAGCTCCGACAAAGAGCGACAACATCTGCAGCCGATCCGTCTGAAAGAGGAGGCGGCTCTGAAGCACCGAGCAGAGCGTCAACAGGAAGTTGGTATCAGAGCGAACACGTTCTGCAGAAGGAGGCGTCGAATAAACGAGGCTGCACGGATGATTATCTATCAGGTTACTGAGCTTCTTGTTTCAGACAAACTAAACTGTTATTTACACGATGCGTTGAGGAGAAATGCTCCGATCTCTGGCCAGAGAGGTTCGTAAAAACACATGTAGTCAGAATCTAACATCAACGTTGAACCTCTGAACCACAAAACTGAACAAACTCAAACACAGTTAACTCGTGTAAACATTCTGACATTTCTGTCTCCTTGTGTTCTTCTGGTTTTCTTATTTATGGTGTACAAACGTCGTCTCTTTAGTCTGTAGTCGTAAAAACCATGAGATCAGCATCTAGACATTTGTCCCATCAGACACGATGTGACCGAATCCACCGAGAAGTCTGGAGAAGTTTGTAGCTTCCAGGTGGAGCAGCGAGTTCACCGAAGAGGTCAGAAGTTCACAAACTCACGTCAGATAAACAACAAAAACACGTGAACTCTCCTCCTGCAGCGTCTCCGTTGTGCTGCTCCTCTTTCATCAAGTCGTCAAGTCAGCTGACGTCTCGTGATGAACACAACAGAACGGCGAGCCGCGGCGCTAATTGTTCTGGTTCCGTTCTGATCGGCATGCTGCTCGCGGAGCCGCCTGTTTGTCAGAATTCTGCAGAGATGATGTGGGAAAGATGAAACGATGGAGCGTTCTCACGTTCTGTCGGGCCCGTGGGCAGGTCGGATTCACGGGGATCTAACCCGGATAAAAGAGATTTGGGAGCTTCAGAAATAGCTGCTGGTGCACTAACGTTTCCTGAAGGTTCGGGTCGCAGCCTCGCCCGGAACCAGAGTGGGAAAAAGAAACAGGCCGACTGTCTGACTGTTAAAGTTTGTAACCGCTAACGACGAGTCGGACTAATTACAGTGTGTGTAAAGCCGACACGAGGCGGTGGTGTTTGTTGGGGTTTTATCTGACGGCAGTAACAGAGACACAGATGGGAAATGTTGGGGAACGATGAAGGTCCATCTGTCTGTCAGAGCAGATGCAGCTCCAGCAGCTACGCTGGTGTTTACATGAGCTGCAGTGATGAGACGTCTACCGTAGGACAGCGTGTAGGGACGACTGATACAGCTGCAGGTCTGCTGGTTTAATATTCAGTCTGAAGTAAGTGACTG